AGCTGGAAGAGTGACTGAGCACCAGTGCAGTGAGCTCCAGCTAGGGCAGTGGGAGTCCAGTGAGAAGTGAAAGGGAGGCAAGGGGAAGAGAAGAGGACCTGAATGGGACAAGGTATCATGGCAGGTGTCAGGTGGGATGTTTCTCTGACTCTCAGTGTGCACTTCTCACGAGCCCTCTACAAGAGGTGAGGCTGAAGGTCACTGGCACATAGGATGCTCCTCCTCCTTCTGAGCACACGGGTCTCATTCTCAGAGAAGGGCATCCACAGACAAGAGCTGAAAGCAGATCCAGGGGCTCCAGGAAGAGAAATTGAGAGATGCAGGGAGAAGAATGAATAGGATCCAGGTGAAATGAATGGGATGGGCTGGAAACTCAGTTTTAAGAAAATCTGAACAGAAGTGAGTCTTTGTAGGTGGGAAACTGAGGACATGGCCATGTGGATGAGTGGAACTGATGAATTTCGAGGGGAGTCATGATGGAGCCTGAGGAGCTCACTTTATGAAGGAAGGTTGCTCTCCATATCAGAGGGACAGGGGAACAGAAAAATAAGTTGAATCTATCAGGAGACAGCTATAGGCCTAGGACATACACTGATAATATACCTCACACTTTGCTACCGAAAGTGTCTAGTAAGGGAAAATTGGATTAAAAGGGGATATTGAGAAAGAAAGAAAACTGGCACTTTGCTTATCTGTGACAGTCCCTAGAAAGTGAGACCACAGAAATGGCTCAGCTGCAGGTGAAACAATACATACAAGATCACTTTGTTAGTGTTCAACCACCTGCAAATTAAAAAGATGAATTATCATTAAATAATCAAAGAGGATACTGAGCTCTTTTAAGTCAGACACACTGGAAATTACGTTGCTTCATAACAACACAACATGAAGTGGGGGAGTAAGACATAACGCCTAAGATAAATAACTTGGCCAAGTTCAACATGGAGTATTTGGGAAGCAAAGGCCTGGAGACAGAGGTTATGCTTAAACCCAGCACTGGCTCATATCACTATGTTGAAGCAGTGCAGATTCAGCGTGACCCTGAGAGAACATGAGGGAGGCTGAATGTACTTGTTTCATGAAGGGAGATCATTAAGAACTTGACCACAATTCCATGGGAATACTCACTGGCAACAGAAACAAGCAGGCAGAAGTGTGGCTCCTGCACCTGATTCCAACCACTGCCAAATGTGGGGCAGGTGCAATCCACAAGGGGTTGTTTTGGTTCGGGCAGTGTCAGACAGATCCTGGAGGGGCAGAAAGGAATAGGAAATTAACAAAAGGAGCAATCACTCCAGAGTCCTCACTGGCTTAAACAGCAGGCCAAAAGAGTCTGCCCACCAAGAGGAAGTGAGTCCATCCAGTGGCCCACAGCTTGGTCAAGGTGAAGCCTAACAGAGGGAGTGCAGACAGAGCCTGAGGCTGAGGAACAGGGACAGTGAATATGAAAAGGTTCTCAGGGAAAATGCCACCATATGGGTTAAAGAGGAAAGGGTGCAGTTGCCCTCCATTGGCACCCTTGCAACTGACAATCACAAGCCCAACAGAAGCTACTTGTCATGTTAAAAACCAATGATGGCCTGAATTGTGCAAACCTCAGTCAAGTGAATGCACCTGCTGAGGAGGTGCTTTAGCACCCCAGGTGTTCTGCACCCCAGCCTCATGCTCACCATCTGGTGCCATGCTTAGAGGTTTGCACCCATCCAATGTTGTGTTCTCAGTGGAAGGCAAAACCACAGATAGCCAACAAGCTGAGGGCAGAAAGGGACGACCTCGCCATGAGGGTGACAGGGTAGTGGCCAAAACTAACCAAATTCCCTGAGATGTCTGGTTGATCTGAGCCTGAGTGGTGACCACATGCAAGTGAAAGAATGAGAAAAAGCAGAGGGACCCGCGCTGTGTTGTATTAGGCTAAGCCTCTGCACCTGTTGTGCTGGCAGCCCTTATGGGCACCTGTTTCTGTCCCGGCTACTCCTTTTCTGATACAGCTCACTGATAATGTCCTTGGACAAGTAGTAAAAGATGACCCAAGTGTTTGGGCCTCTGCACCCACATGGGAGACCCAAAAGAAGCCCCTGGCTCCTGGCTTATTATCATGCCAGCTTCAGCTGTTGTGGCTATTTGGGGAGTGAATCAATGGATGGAAGACCTCTTTCTCTTGTCTCTTCCTCTGTAACTCTGCCTTTGAAATAAATAACTCTTTAGAAAAAAAAGGAAAAGAAAACAGAAATTTCAGGACACTCACATTGTTCCAGAAACATTAGGGGATGGGCAGGAGTGGTATGATGAGTATGGAAGCAATGCTATATTTGCTCCCTACATTTAGATTCTGTGTGTTCAAACAAAATAAGTGGCCACAAAGGTTGGAGACTTACCTGGATTTGGAAGGGAAGTCACACATTTGGTATATTACAAATAAAAATCAGCAAAAGGTACACTGAGAACCTAACACAGACTACTATTCTCTGCATTGTGCACATGGAACAATACAGGCAAGATTACTTGCACTGGGAGCACAAGTAGCTGGGTCAGGAATGTTGGAGGAGGCAAATGAGATTGAAGGATACTGGCCAGTCTGAATTCTCTGGGATAAAGAGGAGCCCGCTCTCTCCACTGGGCTGGACATCAACCCTTAGCTCCTGTGGCCAGAGTCTCTGCAACCCAAAGACCACCTTGCCACCCTCCTGAATGTTATCAACAGGGACAGCCAAACTGGCTTCTGGGTTCAGAATGTATCCAATTTAAAAGGTTGGATGATCCTGAACATTTTTTCATGTGTCAACCATTTGGATTTACTCTTTTTTTTTTTTTAAGATTTATTTTACTTATTTGAAAGACAGAGTTACAGAGAGAGGTAGATAGAGAGAGAGGTCCTTCATCTTCTGGTCCATTCCCCAGACAGCCGTAACAGCCAGAGATGCGCTGATCCAAAGCCAGGAGCCAGGAGCCTCCTCCAGGTCTCCTACGTGGGTGCAGGGACTCAAGGACCCGGGCCATCTTCCACTGCTTTCCCAGGCCATAGCAGAGAGCTGGATCAGAAGAGGAGCAGCCAGGACTTGGGGCTGCCGGCACTTCAGGCCAGAGCTTTAACCCACTGTGCCATAGCACCGGTCCCTGATTTACTCTTTTGAAAAATGTCTGTTTAAGTCCTTTGCCCATCTGTTAACTGGGTTGTTTGTTTTGTTGTTGTGGAGTTTCTTGATCTCTTTACATATATTCTGGTTATTAATCCTTTATCAGTTCCACAGTTTGCAAATAATTTCTCCCATTCTGTCAGTTGCCTTTTCACTTTCCTGAGAGTTTCTTTTGTAGTACAGAAACTTCTCAATTTGATGTAATCCCATTGGTTAATTTTGGCTTTGACTGCCTTGCCTCTGGGGTATTTTCCAAGAATTCCGTGCCTGTGCCAATGTCTTGCAGGGTTTCCCCAATGCTCTCTAGTAATTTGATGGTATTGGGTTGTAGATTTACGGCACTCCAGAGAGCTTGACAGTTGGGTAGTTCAAGCCACTTTCTTTGAGTAACAGTAAAATATTCCTCTGTTTAGTTTTTTATTTTCTGGATCAGATCTGATTTCAGATTTTCTTCTTTGATGCATTCCGTCTTTATTATTATTTTTTTAATTTCAGGTAGAGTTATAGACAGTGAGAGGGAGAGACAGAGAGAAAGGTCTTCCTTCTGTTGGTTCACTCCCCAAATGGCCACCATGGCCAGAGCTGCACCAGTCCGAAGCCAGGAGCCAGGTGCTTCTCCCTGGTCTCCCATGTGAGTGCAGGGGCCCAAGCACTTGGGCCATCCTCCACTGCCCTCCTGGACCACAACAGAGAGCTGGACTGGAAGAGGAGCATCCAGGACTAGAACCCGGTGCCCATATGGGATGCCAGCGCCGCAGGTGGAGGATTAGCCAAGAGAGCCACAATGCTGGCCCCTACATTCCTTCTGAGTAGTAGATTATAAAGGTCAGTAGGCCCTGACAGATGAGCTCCTCAACACAGGTCAGCCTTAGCGCTCAGCACTGATTAACCTGAGAAAGACATACTTGAAGTTTCATATCCAGGAGGCATTAACAGGCCTCCTGTACCTGTACTCTGAAGACACGGCTACCCATGGAAACCATTCCTGTACTGATTGTGCCCTCCTAGCCCTTGTCCAGCCTCTCTTCATCTCACCTCCCTACTTTTTCACCAGGCTCACTGTTCTCCAGCCGCTGCTTGAGTGCACTGCCAAAGACAGGACTCCTCAGAGCCTTTCTTTCTTTCCATGGGAATCTAGTTTTGTTTGTTTAGTATCTTGCTTCACTGATGAATCTGTTAAACAACAAAGATTTGTCAACTGACATAAAGGATTATTTATCCAAAACATTTCTTGAGGGGCTGGCTTTGTGGTACAGCTAAACTGTATCTTGCGATGTCAAGTTCAATCCCAGCTGCTCCACTTCAGATCCAGATTTTTGTTAATGTTCCTGGGAAAGTAGCAAAAGGTGGCTGCCATCATGAGGGAGATCCAGATGGAGCTCCAGGCTTCTTGTTTTGCCCTGGCCCAACCCTAGCCACTGCAGCTATTTGGGGAATGAATCAGCTTATAGAAGATCTCTGTTCCTCTGCCTTTCAAATACACAAGTGAATAAATAAGCAACAAAACAAAACAAAAAAAAAAAGTTGTTGAAGTTCATGTATTCCTTAAATCAGCCACCATAAAGTTTTCTTATTTCACCTCCATTATAGCTTTAAAACAATGGAATTATCTCCTTTTAAGGAAAAGTGGGACCTAAGGAATAAAGAACAGTAAATTGCAAAGCTGCAATTTGAACCCACTGTGTTGTGCCAAATGATTCATTCATACTTAGCTGTGCCTTCAAGTTGAACACGACATACAGGGCAGTAGTGTATAATCTGTTCACATTGCAGGTATGGAAGTATCAGGTTAAACCACATTTCAACATCTGTATGTCTTTGGACTGTTTTAGTGCCTATGATGATTTTGGTTCTTCCATTGACTAGGAATGGGATTTTCCAACAGAAACTGTTAAATTTGGTCCTGAACACATACATATCGATAGCTGGATCAAAAAACACACCTATGACAACTTTAAGGAGACATCTGAATCAGGGATGCAGTACTACTTGCAGGTAAGTGAGTGACATCCTTTCTGTGTGTTGCTTTTAAGTTAAGGAGCAGTCTTCAATGTCATTCATGTAATTGACTTTTGAAGTTAATTAAATACCAACATACTTCCATATGTTAGGAAACAGTAGATTTATTCTTTTTTTTTTTTTTTGACAGGCAGAGTGAACAGTGAGATAGACAGAAAGGTCTTCCTTTGCCGTTGGTTCACCCTCCAATGGCCGCTGCGGCCAGCACATTGTGCTGACCCAAAGGCAGGAGCCAGGTACTTATCCTCGTCTTCCATGAGGTGCAGGGCCCAAGCACTTGGGCCACCCTCCACTGCACTCCCGGGACATAGCAGAGAGCTGGCCTGGAAGAGGGACAACCGGGACAGAATCTGGCACCCTGACCGGGACTAGAACCCAGTGTGCAGGTGCCACAGGCGGAGGATTAGCCTATTGAGCTGCGGCCCCGGCCAGTAGATTTATGCTTGAAAGCAAAATTGAATAGATCTGAAATGATTTTTTGAGGGGTATGATATAAGTGTGGTGTGATGTTACTGGCATATTTCTATGAAAGCCAATAGCTCAACATGGCTTTCTTTTCTTTCTTTCTTTCTTTCTTTCTTTCTTTCTTTCTTTCTTTCTTTCTTTCTTTCTTTCTTTCTTTCTTTCTTTCTTTCTTTCTTTCTTTTTTTGTTAAGTTGGCAGGTACCAATACCACCTTACTAGTTAAAGTGGTCAGTTTAAGTTCATGACTGGTCATAAAGATAGGATTAAGTGTCAAAGGGATCACATAAATAAGACCAGTGTCTGCTAATAATAATTGATAGAATTAAAAAGGAGAGAATGATCCAACATGGGAAGTGGGATACACAGCACTCATAGAATGACAAATGCCCTAAACAGCACTCTACCTCAGAATTAGCCCTTAAGGCATTTGGATCTGGCTAAAAAGCCTATGAGAGTTTCTCAGGCATGGAAAGTCAAGACACTTTGGCAAAAATGACCTAAATGAAAGATCTCTGTGAGTGAGATCCCAGTGGAAAGAATGGGCCATCAAAGAAGGAGGTATCTTTCTCTTAAGGGAGGAGAGATCTTCCACTTTGATTACAGCCTTGTCTAAATAAGGGCAGAATTTGTGAACTCAAGAGGCTTCCATAGCCTTGGCAGCTCATGACAAGAACCTTGGGTGATTACTGATGTCAGAAACAAGAGTATCAATGTTAATCAACAACAGGAGTCACTGTGCACTTACTCCCCATGTAGGATCTTTGTCCTTAATGTGTTGTACTATCAGAATTAATGGTAAAACTAGTCTTCAAACAGTTCTTTTTACTTTGTGTGTCTGTGTGGGTGCAAACTGTTGAAATCTTTACTTAGTATAGAGTTGGTCTTCTGTATATAAAAATAATTGAAAATGAGTCCTAATGAAGAATGGGATGGAAGAGGGAGTGGGAGATGGAATGGTTTGCTGGTGGGAGAGTGGTTGTGGGGGGAAAACCACTATAATTCAAAAGTTGTACTTTCAAAATTTATTAAAGTTTTCTTAAAAAAATAAATTAATGTATTTTATTCAGTTTCACAAAAAAAGATTTTATTTACTTATTTGAGAGGTATAGTTACATACAGTGAGAGGGAGAGACAGAGAGAAAGGTCTTCCTTCCATTGGTTCACTCCCCAGATGGCCACAATGGCTGGAGCTGTGCTGATCCGAAGCCAGGAGCCAGGTGCTTCTTCCTGGTCTCCCTCGTGGGTGCAGGGGCCCAGACACTTGGACCATCTTCTACTGTTTTCCCAGGCCATAGCAGAGAGCTGGATTGTAATAGGGGAAGCCGGTACTAGCACTGGTGCCCATGTGGGTTGCCGGAGCTGCAGGCAAAGGATTAACCTACTGTGCCACGGAGCCAGCACCCCCATTTTTTAAGAAAGCTTTTATTTAATGAATACAAATTTCATAGGTATAGCTTTAGGAATGTAGTGCTTATTCCCTCATACCTGCCCTCCCACGTCCACTCCCACCCCACCTCCTACTCCCTCTCCCATCCCATTCTTCATTAAGATTTGTTTTTAATTAACTTTATATACAAAAAACAACTCTAACTAAGTAAAGATTTCAACAATTTGCACCCATTCACCCCCCACCCCCACACAAAGTATAAAGTACCATTTGAGAACAAGTTTTACAGTTAATTCTCATAGTACAACTCATTAAGGACAGAGGTCCTATATGGGGAGTAAGTGCACAGTGACTCCTGTTGTTTATTTAACAATTAACAGTCATATACATGATGTCAGTGATCACCCAAGGCTCTTCTTCAACTTCTCTTATTGAAGAGTTGTAGTGTTCCTTTTAGGGGGTCATAGTGTCATCCTGATTCTTATTTAGGTTTTTCTTTTCTCTCTCTCTTTCTTTCTTTCTTTCTTTCTTTCTTTCTTTCTTTCTTTCTTTCTTTCTTTCTTTCTTTCTTTCTTTCTTTCTTTCATTTCTGGTTGCTTTCCTCTTTAGTATGTGTCTTTGTGTTTGTGGTGTGTGTTCCCTTTGCTATGAGCTGCTAATGTGTCTGTGTGTTGCAAGTGGAAGCACACAGTCCCACCTCTGGGAGTCCTGCTCACTTCTCAATCATGATAGGGGCAGGTAGGTGAGCTCTGGGGCACTAAGCCCCGCCTACTGGGGGCTGGGTTTACTTCTCATTGGTACATGAAACAAGCTCAAGATTTCGATATTTAGGACTTCTGATTGTTGTAAATCTTGCGTGGTTGGGGAGTAAGTTACTTTGAAATGTTGTAATCCTCGTTCCCGGGTAGAGGGTGTTGTGATGTGGCCCCCATAATTGATGGGTGTGTGCATGGGAGGCAAATATGGTAGCCCCCTGCTTACATTCAATGATGTAAACAATATGGCTTCTCCCAGCCAGCTGCAGGTCCGTTTGGGGGAGTGGGGAGACATGAATGGACAGGGGTGTGTCTGACCTCTCCATTTGTTCCCCTATACTTTCTCTTTCTTCCTGCTTGGGACTTCAAATGCAGTTTGTCAGGCTCCTCTGCCCAATGCTATCCACAGCTCCATGGACTGGCAACTTCGTGTCTCACCTGGTGTGCTGGGGTGTGGGGGTGGCATCGGTCTCCCTGTTCTTCTCCACGGCTCCTCCACCGTGGAGGAGCCACGTCTCTATTGTTCCTCTGCCACTTCCCTTTTTTCTTGCTCCCTTAGGTGGATCTGCCCAGTCTCTGTTGGACTCCTGGGCTTCTCTGCACGAGAGCCATGGCTCTGTCACTGGCTTGTATCCCTTTTACTAATTATCTGTTTTGCCCCACATGACTTGGAACGTCCTGTTGCTATACTGTCATCTTGGCCCCCTCCTATCAACGTTGCTTTCTTGGATTTGAGGTGTTAGAAAGAAGTGTGCTCTCATTCTGAGAAACAAATGTGACCTGAGTTCGTATTTGTAGGTTTCACAGAACACTGTCCATCAGATTCACTCTGTTGTAAAAAAAAAAAAAAAAAAAAGATGATATTTACACTGAGTCTTAGCACCTTTTTTGTTGATTTAAGTCAAATGAATTCCTTCTCAATGTGTTTGAGCTGGGACCTCCAGTGATGCTTGATACTGCAATGCTTAAAATGATGAAGATTTCTCATTTTAAAAGGGTAGTATTTGTTTTTGTTTTTAGTATAACTAAATGCTTCAAAGAAAAATGAAGCCCAAGCTTTGATTTTCTCTGTTGATAGGTATTTTGCAGTATCTGCTGATATGTGAAGTTGTAGTTTTTTTTTTAACTTTTATTTAATGAATATAAATTTCCAAAGTACGATATATGGATTACAATGGCTTCCCCCACACACCGTCCCTCCCACCCACTACCCTCCCCTTTCCCACTCCCTCTCCCCTTCCATTCACATCAAGATTCATTTTCGATTATCTTAATATACAGAAGATCAGCTTAGTATACATTAAGTAAGGATTTCAACAGTTTGCTCCCACACAGAAACATAAAGTGAAAAATAATAGATGATTTTTTTTAAATGATGATGAAATCAGATCAGACCTATTGTCATGTTTAATCCCAGTGAGAGTCAAGTTGGGAGTTGATAATTTCTTTTCTTTTTTTTTTTTTTTTTTTACAGAGGATCAGTTTAGTATACATTAAGTAAAGATTTCAACCGTTTGCACCCCCATAGAAACACAAAGTGAAATATATTGTTTGAGTACTCGTTATAGCATTAAATCTCAATACACAGCACATTAAGGACAGAGATCCTACATGAGGAGTAAGTGCACAGTGACTCCTGTTGTTGACTTTACCAATTGACACTCCTGTCTATGGCATCAGTAATCTCCCTATGCTCCAGTCATGAGTTTCCAAGGCTATGGAAGCCCTCTGAGTTCTCCGATTCTTATCTTGTTTAGACAAGGTCATAGTCAAAGTGGAGGTTCTCTCCTCCCTTCAGAGAAAGGTACCTCCTTCTTTGAAGACCTGTTCTTTCCACTGGGATCTCACTCGCAGAGATCTTTTGCCAGAGTGTCTTGGCTTTCCATGCCTGAAATACTCTCATGGGCTTTTCAGCCAGATCCGAATGCCTTTAGGGCTGATTCTGAGGCCAGAGTGCTATTTAGGACATCTGCCATTCTATGAGTCTGCTGAGTATCTCACTTCCCATGTTGGATCACTCTCCCCTTTATTTATTCTATCGGTTAGTGTTAGCAGGTACTAGACTTGTTTATGTGCTCCCTTTGACTCTTAGTCCTTTCATTATGATCAATTGTGAACTGAAATTGATCACTTGGAATAGTGAGATGGCATTGGTACATGCCACCTTGATGGGATTGAATTGGAATCCCCTGGTATGTTTCTAACTCTACCATTTGTGGCAAGTCAGCTTGAGCATGTCCCAAATTATACATCTCTTCCCTCTCTTATTCCCACTCTTATGTTTAACAGGGACCACATTTCAGTTAATTTTCAACACTTAAGAATAACTGTGTATTAATTACAGAATTAAACCAGTCATATTAAGTAGAACAGACAAAAAAACTACTAAGAGGGCTAATGTATTAAGTTGGTCATTAACAGTCAGGGCTATGCTGATCAATTCAACGTTTCCCATAGTGTCCATTTTACTTCAGGAGGTTTCCTTTTTGGTGTTCAGTCAGTTGTCACCGATCAGGG